AAATAAATAATTAATTAGTTAGGAAATTAATGAATAATTTGATTTACAGGATGAAGTGAAACATATCGGTGATCTTGGAAATATTGAAGCTGGATATGATGGCATTGCTCGTGTTAATATTACCACTAAACATGCAAAGGTAAATGTAAGCAAAGCTTAAAGATGTTTATTAATAAAAATGATTTTATAATAAAATTAAAAATATTTATTAAAATGATTTTAGAAAAAAATAAAATGAAATTTGAAATATATTTTATAGATTTATTCAATTGGTTTATTTTTAGTTATTAGGTCCACTTTCAATAATTGGTCGTTCAATTATTGTCCATGCTGACCAGGATGATTTTGGTCGAGGAGTTGGTAATGCGATGCAAGAAAGTTTAAAAACTGGTAATGCTGGTAAACGTGTTGCATGTGGTATTATTGGTATTGCTGCAGATAATTAAAATTATCAAGATTTTTGAAAACTTATTAAAATTCAATTTTTAATTCAGAATTAATAATTTGAATTATTTTATTATTGATAGTAAATATGATTGAATAATCATACTGTAATAGTTTATTTTGAATATTTGGATAAATATTTTTTTGATATGTATGAAAAATAATATTTGATAAAATATTTATTTGTGTTTATGTATGTTACAATTTCATGTTAATAAAGTTTAATGATAAAGCATTTTGATAGATTAAAAGGAAAGAGTTAATTGGAATTAAATTTCTTTTATTTGATAATATTTTTCATTCTTTTAAAATGAGCAATTAAAAGATTTCAGTAATTCTTTTTTCGATTTCATTTTTGATGAAAATATAAACAAGCATAAACATAGATGATGATATGTTAAATATCAAAGATCTTGATTTGATATTTCTTGATCTTGATATTCTTAATCTTGACAATCATGAAATTGATGTTATTTGATGTTAAAAGAAAATTAAGATCATGATATCTTAAATATCAAAAATCTTAATTTGATATTTCTTGATTTTGATATTCTTAATCCTGACAATCATGAACTTGATGTTATTTGATGTTAAAAGAAAATTAAGGACGAAGAAATAGTAGTGAATGTTAATAATGTATATGTAAATTTTTTTTTCGTAATATTTTTAAAACGAAAAAAAATGGGAAAGAAGACAGCAATTGTTATCAGAAGGTGTAAAATTTTTAAACTATTTGATTTAACACAAAATAAAATTTCATCCTATCGCCTGCGACTAAGTTTTTTTATTTAGGATTTAACAATTGGAATTCGTTACCATATCAAAAATTCCATTTTAATCTTCAAAAAAAAAACTGTTTTCCAAATCTAAACTAGTCACAATAATTACCCGTACTTTTGCTCTCATCCTTACTAAAACTACTTCCTAAATCTAAACTAGTCACAATAATTACCCGTACTTTTGCTCTCATCCTTACTTTTAGGTAAGATTAGCTTACTAAATAAGACTAGCTTACGAAAAATAAGATTAACTTACAAAAAGAAAAAAAAAGTAAGATTAGCTTACAAAAAATTGTAATAACGGAAATGAAGTGAATTCGCTGGAATTTAAAATTAATTTGCAATCGATTAACAATTCCAAAAATTTTTTCTCGAAGCATGCACCTTACATTAATTAATCAGGAAATCTACATACTTTCCGTCTTTTACACATTACTTTTATCATCAGTTTTCGCTCATACATTTGCCGATACTAAACTTTTCTTCTTTACTCTTGTATAATTGTGCTTGTTACTGTATGTTATGCTAAAATATAGCATCAAACGAATATATTTTAAAAGGATGCATCGAAAGCCTTTCCCATTTTTAACAAAATTTGAAATTTTAAATCAAATAAACGAAATTTTAAGTTATACTAAAATCCAAAAGATGCAAAATTGCGATGCAAAGTTGACCTGGAAATCTCTCAATCGACATCGAAAAAAAATAGAATTTTTATGTTGCATGGTATTCTTGAACACTGCAACGTTAATATTTATTGAAGCGTTCCAGAGATATAATATCAAAAGTATTAAAGAAATCTACCATGGAATATGAGCCGAAAGCGTCGAAGAGTCCAAATGTTGGTACGTTTTTTTTTTTTTTTATTTTATAATTATTTTTTACTTGATTTGCTACATGGATAATGTGAGCGCGTTTACTACGTAATTTAACAAAATAAATACCAAGATGTAATGATAAGGAACAAGGTAGGAATTAATAATAAAAATAGAGTGGAAGTGAGATGCATATTTCTCTACCAGTGGAACACGTACTTTTAAGAAGATTTCACCGGAGATAGGAACGCTGGAAGTACATGAGGAAATAACATTTGATAAACCATTACGAAAGCATTAAAATCACATTTTCTTTAAAAAAATCCACAAAAAAGAAAAATTGATTCAGGATGTAGCACTAAGAGCAACAATACCACATGCGACACGAGCACCGGCGTTACCGGTTTTCAAACTTTCGTCCTTCTTGTCGCCAGTTCCTTTCCCGAGATCATCCTGATCAGCATGCACAACAATTGAACGACCAATTATCGAATTCGGACCCGATAACTGGAAATATGAAAGTAAGGAAATTTAAGAATTATAACGGAAATATTCGATTAAATGTCGAAGAATATGTTAAACGATCGATCACTTCAAAGTAATTTTGCTGTACCTGTACATGTTTATCAGACATATCAATGTGAGCAGTGCCATCGGCCCCCGCTACAATATTTCCAAGATCACCAACATGTCTTATTTCATCCTGAAAATCAGCTGTGAATTATGAATGACGGATAATAAAAGAAATTATAAATTTTTGATTAAAATCTATTGGGAAAAAAGTTACCTTCGCCTTTGAAAAAATCTATGAAACTTCTTGATTTATCTCATACAGTTCATCCTATCATGAACATTAGGACTAGGCACTGTTTCAGAAATCCAACTAACAAAAGTAGCATTGATTAAACGTAATTTCTTTTTCTTTGGAGTCAGAATAAAACTAACAGTTGGACCGCCATGTGTTTTATTGTGAGGATTGAAATGTGGACCAGCAGAAATGCATCCGTTTGTAGTGTCACCGTATTGATGAACATGAAAACCATGCAAACCAGGAGTTAAACCTTTGATTTCACCATTAATTGCTGTTGGTGAGGATTCTTTATCCTTTAAAAAGACTGATTTTAATAATTATTAATTTAGTCACTCACGTCAAACAAACAGGTTGCATCCGTTGGATAAAGAGAGCTATCCGTGATGGGAAATTTCAATTCACTCTACATAATTTAGAGTGTACAAATTCCTGCATCCACATTTCCGAAATCAAATATTTAGTACAACAATAACATTAATTATGGAGAAAATAGGATAAAGAAGTGTCTATAAATTATTCAAAACAACTAAACTATCCATTTTTTTAACATTCTTCTGCAAAAATATTACTGAAACTTACATTACGAAAGAATAAAAAAATGCAGTTCCATATTAGCCAATTAAGTAGATATTTTACTTACAAACTTCTATAGTTTGATTAAGCTTTTCCTTTTACCTGTTTAAAACGAATAATTCCACTAACAGTATCGCCACGTAATACAGCTATCGCATTCATATTGATGATGATATAACCAGTTTCAAGCTGTAAATTTTTTAAAAATTTAAAATCTGTAAAAGAAATAAATTATGTGAAAAGAAATGACCCAATCCTTCACTTATCTAACAAAAAAAGAAAAAAAAACAGCGAATAATAATTAGCCTCATTCAACTTAGTCGAACACCAATAACAAACAACCAACAAACGAACACTATGAAAAACAAACCAAAACACCAACGTAATATACTTTGACGTTCGCTTTGTGAAAAATTATCAAACTACAATCATTAAATATAAAATGTTCTCAGTAACAATACAAATACAAGTGCAACATAAGAACAATGAATCTATATTTATTTCTGTATTTGGTAATTTATTTTTATCTTAATTCTATAATCAAAATTATGACAAGAAATTTTAATTAATAGATAAATTTTAATTGAATAAAATATGTAATCCCGAAACATATACATTATTGAGTAATTTCTTTACAAAAATAAAGTGAAATAAGCAAATTAAATACTGAAATGCATATATATATTTTCAGTAATTGAGTAATTTTATTATAAAAATAAAATAAGTAAGTTAAATATTGAAATATATATTTTTTTCGAGTAATTGAGTAATTTCATTACAAAAATAAAATAAGTAAATTAAATATTGAATACATATACACATT